GTGACAGTGCTGCTTTGTGTACATGCGACAAACTTGGGATTCCTTGGAACATTGTTCTCATCAGTTTGGACTGGATTGTGGCCAAGCTTTTCAAAGTGTACGAACATAGCAGTGACAGCCTTGCGGGGAATGTGGCAGAGAGCGGAATTCTCGTGGTTCAGTTTTGACATTTTGAACGATGCAACGGGACATGATGGAGTATGAGTGCCATACATTTTTTCCCCTGACCGTTATCTTGCGAATTTCCCATTCTAAACGGAAACAAATATACCATTTACCAGGTAGGTAAATATTCACGAACGGTTTGCCGCACAAATAGGGATAGATATAGGGATGTATTTTTACAAGGTTTTCTGATTTATATGTTAGATATTGTTTGTTTATGTTTGGAGCTGTGTATTGTAATTTAGTTTGAATATTTTTATAATAGAAGATAATAATTATGATAGTGAGGTTCCCTAATAATTGTGGAGGAGAAATCGTAGACTAGTAATTGTATTTTTCGAGTTTTAATAAATGTTTCATCAGCATTTCCATCACGTCTGTTGTGTTGATATTAGTCATGTTGGTGGCCAAACTGAAGTAGTGCGGCAGTGTTGTATACGTGCGCAGTGAAGCGCCGTGAAATCTGACGCATTTTCAATCCAAATTGATACCGTCTGATTTTATTGATTGACCAATCAAATTCGAGCATTTCACGTAGCCATGGTAGAATTACCATTAGTATGTATACTGAAAGTTTAAACGCCATTGTTTCCTGTAAGCTGACATTTTGGGCTAAACAATAACAACAAAATAATAAAATTTGCAATATTTTAATTTACAAAATGACATGAAAACGATGTTTTGTCAACAAAATGTATCCCTGTACAACTATGGGGATGCAGAGTTCCAAAATGGGAGAGGTTAGTGTCTCTCAGTCTGAAAATAATCATCTTCAGACAACAAATCACATAAAAAATGTTAATAGCATGCATATCCACCTTGTGCACGGATGACTGCTTTGACCCTCCTCCTCATGCTTGTCGTGAGTCTCCGGGTCCGCTCTAGTCTGTCTCACAGTCCCTGAACCACATTATTTTCCCTACTGCCTAGCCCTCTCTGCAATGCTAAAGCCCTAAACCAAGCAAGTCTAGAGTTCCTCAGGTTCAGGAATCTCTGGTCTCCCTTGGGCTCCTTTTCAATTGAAATGGGTTTATTTGTTACAATCAAAATTATTTACTCTCCCATAAAAGAAACGCATATAGGATTTCAACTGTATTTTTATGTATATTTTGAAACATCATGTAGGCTTATGAGTCAATGAAATATAGCGAAATTGGACACTGGGAATGCAGACTTATCCGTCTTTGGCACCAACTCGAGGAAAGTCAGTTTGAGTGTCACATGGAGACGTGTGGTGGCGCTGAAGTCAATACTTCGTGTGACCACCGTGGGCATCCAGAACTGCACGGCATCGCCTAGGCATCGAACGAATAAGTCTCAGAATCTCGTGTTGCCCAATCGCAGCCCACTCTGCCTGTAGTGCCTGTGCGAGTTGCTGAAGTGTCTGGGGCTGAGGGTTACGGCGTCGCACCCGTCTGTCCAGGGCATCCCAGAGATGTTCGATCGGGTTTAAGACCGGTGATCTTGAGGGCCAGGGGAGCACATTGATGTTGTGGTTCTGGAGGAAGTCTCTAGTGTGACGTGCTGTGTGGGGCCTGGCATTGTCCTGTTGAAACTAACTCCCTCTGGCGATCAATGATTGGAAGGAGGTGTGGGCGTAGGATTTCGTCACAGTACCGTTGAGCTGTCAGGTTGCCCTGGATCATCACCAAATCACTTCTCCTGCGGCAGGTGATCGCTCCCCACATCATAACACTGTCTCAGCCGAATCTGTCCACCTGGGGAACGCAAGCGTCGGCGAAACGTTCACGTCGACGTCTGTACACCCACATTCTTCCATCGCGTCGTTCCAATAGAAATCGTGATTCATCACTGAACCAGATTCTACGCCAATTCGGTACGTTCCAGGCCTGAACGTTGGTGCACTATTGAACTCGATGTCGACGATATTGTTGTCGAAGCACAGGGCCAAAATAAGGTCTTCTGGCACGTAAACCAGCCTCTCTCAACCTGTTCCTGATTGTCTGTGCAGAAAGCCTCCTAAATCCGGGTATTTGTCGAGCGGTACTGGTCGCCGTAGCTGTTCGATGACGCAGGTAATGTACCCGGATGTAGCGATCCTGCGCCGCAGTGGTCGCTCGAGGTCGCCCACTACGAGGGGCATCTGCTTCCGAATTCTGCCGGCGATATCTCTCCCAGAGCCGTGAAATGGTGCTTTGGTGAACATTCATGCGTCCGGCAACTGTACGTTGAGACTGGCCAGCTTCAAGCAAATCAATGGCAATATGACGGTTGGCTTCACTTAGACGTGGCATTTTGCGTTCGTCAACAATATTCCAAATACAGTGAATAATCGACAGACAGCGATCAACCTTTTATACCCATCATTGAGACTATATGATCCCCAACTTTCACGTGCATTGCATGTGAATTGTGTATTCTGTGACACTACACGCCGAAATTGAAAATCATGCTGTAAAATACGGATATTTTACGGATGATGCTTTTTTGTTGTGATGTTTCAAAACATAAACACCATAGGACTCATAAACAGAGCAAGACCTTTTGTAAAATGAATCACGTTTTAATTCATTGCTACATGAAATTGCTATTTTCATGATGCGTTTCTTTTTTGGGAGAGTATATATACAAAGACTAAGTGTTAGTCTAGATGCAACTGCTGCCACTCCCGGCGAAAAGTTGCTTCCAAACAGATCTTGTAAAGGCGGATCCAGTGCTTGCACTCAGCGTCCAAGAATGCCCGAGAATGCTCCAATGGGTTCAGATCCGGGCTCATAGCAGGTCATGGAAGTTTGGTTACAGTGTTGTTTGGAGAAAAAACTGTCACAAGTCGGAAACAATGTGGTCGGGCGTTGTCATCCATAAATACAGGGCGAGTGGCTGATGGGTGGTTTTCAAAATGCGGCACAAGAACATGATCCAGATTGTCCCGGATGTCGTGGTCGCCACTGAGACTTCCACGAACATGGTTACCAAATCCAGTTTACAATCACGGGAGAGACAACCCCAGACCATGACAGATCCACCCCCGTAACTAACTGATGCTCTGATGTTCTTAGGTTCATAGGCTCTGTTCTTGGTCCTCCAGACTCGCTCGCGCCCGTCTGTGACGTGCAATAAAAAGTGTCTCTCATCCGACCAAATGCACCTTTCTCCATGACGTCGAATCCCAATGACGTCGAGGTAAACATCACTCCAAATGAGCTCTCTTGTGAGGATGGCACCCTTGAAGAGCAACCTCCTCGTGGTGGGTGCTGGGTAACGCTAATAGCTCTTCACATATCAACATTCTTATTGCAATTATTGCATATTATTGTGCATTTGTGACAATAAAATTTGCATTTAAATTATATGATATATGTTTGCCTAGAGTCCTATGCCAGAAGGCGTTGGCACATGGGCCAATCTGGTGATGTTGACCGCTGAATACTGTATGTTTCTATATTGTTCTAAATTGCAGAACCAGCCTGACGATACATTTAGCAAACAAATATAGCTATTCAAGTCATATGTGCAGGATTATATCATCCCTGTATCCCTGGTGTTTGCATTTTGGATACCACCGTCTTTGTTGACACTCCGTGGTGGGTAGGGAGCAGAGGTGCCGAACCATTCTTTTCATACATTATGAATCCCCAATGATCTGGCTCATCTATTTATTATGTCTTCATTTAAACTACTTTGGTTTCTATGATTGGTATATTGCATCATTGCATCATTTATAGTGCTAGCCCACTGAGATACCATGCCGCAGTGAAGCATGAATTCCCCACTCAGACACATTATACTGACTCCGAGCCGACCAGTCCTTATTGTACCCATTAATGCCGAGCGCCAGACAGGGACCAACGAGTACCAAACTTTAACGTCTTTTGGTATGACGCGGTTGGGGATCGAACCCGCGACCTTCCACTCTCCGGGCGGACGCTCTAACCACTACACCACGGAGGCGGTCAGTCACGATATGGCTGAATATTGCCGATGTGACTTTAAATTTTAACTCACTCACTCCATTAGAAGCATTCTCTCAAACTCTTTGGGGGATTCCTCATCAAAATCATTCTGTTAAGTTCTAAGTGTTTGGGCTGGTCCGTTGTATGAAATAGGTAACAGGCAGTCGATTAGCGATGCACTGGACCATAAACTTTGTAACACAGAATATTTGTAAACTGGATGAGCACATCAATATAAAATGTCAGCTCATGTTGCAAAAGCATCAAATAATCACATGAAATAATTGACTGTGCAAATCAGATAACAATTACAATGGTAATGTAGTCTTTAAAGCGTATTTTTTTCATGTTTCCTTTAAACGTACCGAATATCTTTAAACGTGTTGTTTTATTAATGTGACCAAAGGACACAAAGAGATGATTATTTGTGACCCACGTCACACTTAACTTGCCACCTGCAATAAGCTAGCACGTCAGATAAGATGAAAATGATTTGTTTAGTCGCGCATTCTGTGTCTCATTGCTTGTTAAAATCTGAGACGTCAATACCAGAGAATAATCAGCCTCGAATATCCATTTAAACGGATTTCTTTGCGTAGAGGACAAAAATAGCGAAAAACATTATACACAGGATGTTCATGAAAATTGTAAGAGGTTGTTCTCTGAAAACTTTGCGAAAAATAACGTTCAAACCTAATGAAAATGCCAATCATCTTTCTGGGGTTAAACACTTATATTCATCATAGTTTACATACCCGGCTTTTATGTACATTTACTAATTATCAGTAGATCTAAGACAAGTGAATTAATTATAAAAACGAAAAATAGAAACCTTTACTTATTATATAATGTGTGACTTGTAAGAAATGCTGAAATATATAACTGTATAAAAAATAATAAACAATGACAAACCATCCTTACCTTTTCAGTAGAACAGTCAAACATTATTGGTAACTTCAACGCGTAACGTGTTTGGTTGTTTACGGCTGCACTCGGCAGTATTGCAGCTATATGGCGGATGTTCAATGCGTAACAGTTATATATTATGTAAGACGCTCACAGCATGTCGTTCATCGATATCCCGGGCAAAGTCAACATGCTCACATGCGGATCAATTAAAAGGTGCAGCACTACTTTTGACAATTGTGACTGTCGATCACCACGATATATGTAAGTGAATTTGAAAGCTTTATTTCAACTTTGTGTTCTTAAACGTACCTCCTTGTGTCAAAGACAAGTGTAACAGTATTATCATGCTTGTGTTGATGTCACCTGGCGTGTCATATCATAACAGGAAACACATTTCTGTTGTGCAGCCATGTCCAAGTTTTAACTTGTCTTATCAAAATACAGTTTGTGTTACTAATGTAGTGACTGTCTAAATATAGTACCGAAAGATCTCCTATGATTAGAAGATCGCCTCCGTGGTGTAGTGGTTAGAGCGTCCGCCCGGAGAGCGGAAAATCACGGGTTCGATCCCCGACCACGTCATACCAAAAGACGTTAAAATATGGTACTTGTTGGTCCCTGCCTGGCGCTCGGCATTAATGGGTACAACAAGGACTGGTCGGCTCGGAGTCAGTATAATGTGTCTGAGTGGGGTATTCATGCTTCACTGCGGCATGGTATCTCAGTTGGCTAGCACTATAAAACCAGCTTCAGTCTGGGCTAGTACAAGCAGCTGCACGTACACATACACACGCATGCACGTCGTCATATGAGCGAAATATTCTCAAGCACGACGATAAACCCAATTTCACCTCACCTCACCTCACCTCCTATGATTAGAATACCTAGTAAAATGTTTCTGTCAGTGTGTAAACATATCCTCAATAATTCATGTCACATTTTGTAATAAAACTATTATTTAAAATATACAATTCACAAATGCATGTTTCCAGTCATTCTTCAGATATCTCACATGAACGAGTGTAACTCACTTTGGTTGTAAAACATTCAAAAGAAGACATAATGAACACAATCGATACTTGCATTACACTCCTCAGTATCTGTGACGAGATGCATTTAACAATTACATAATAATTCTTTATAATAGTCATATGCCTTGGCCTTATAATTCTGTGAATTTTTATAAGGAAAAAATGCTTTTGAAGAAGATATAGGATTAACAAGGAATGATGATTAGAACAACACAGTGACTAGTATGGAGAGTTTAGGGGAGGCTTGGTTCTGCTCATGACGGCGAGGACGTATTGAACACAGTTCCTTACAAAAGGTATACTGTAACTACTTTGGAAGCCACCGTATGAAGATTTTACATTCGTACTGTTCGAAAACATGCCCGGAAAATGCCAAGAAATATTTAAAAAAACACTCAGGCGTGAAACGAAAGAAACACTCAACGAACAGTTCAACTGACTCCAGTGTCACACTCGCCACGCCAACAAAATGGCGACCTCTGGCTCAAACTGACAAGGGTAGTGTGGTACGAGAATGCTTGAACATTGTCATATGCCTTGGCCTTATAATTCTATGGAATTCTATAAGGAATTATTGCTTTGGTTTTTATGATTAAATACCTTTTCGTATTAATACCAATATCAACGCAAAGAATACCAACCCTAGATTATCCCCACACGGGATCAAAAGGTGGATAATACGCCATTGGAATTTATGCAAACACTGTAGGAAATACATTCTATGACCATATGTTTCCATCATGTCAAATTCTTGGTTCATATAACTTCATTTTCACAAGATCGATGCTCATGCTGTTGATCACTGGATTATCTTGTTCAGACTCGATTATTTACAGACCGCCGCATATAGCTGGAATATTGCTGAGTGTGGTGTAAAACTAAACTCACTCACTCCCTCATTTTCACATATTTTAATACTTTTGAAATCAACGTTTATGTGACCTGTTTAAAGGTCACATAAACCCTAGGGGGTAAAAATACATAAATCACTAACTGGCATCGTTATAAATGAAACCCCGTCATTAAAACTACTCATTTCGACCTTTAATTGACTTAAATCGACCTTTTTGACAACAGTGCACAATTCTCACCCGCGAACGAAATTTCAACCAATCAGAGCGGCGCGACTCTGTGACGTCATATTAGGAATAGCTTTGAGGGCCGATGCAGAATTCATCTACATTTTAGGGGGTAAATTATCTTGTTTACAGGCTAGTATAAACCTGAAATCGTGATAATTGTTGTGGAAAATGAAAGCTATATGTTCTCACAATCTACTGGCATTTAATTTTGTCTCCTGCTTTGCCTAGTTTCCGAGTTACAACTTGTTTTCATAGACGCTTCTGTCACAATTGATTGGTGTCGTTAGGCCCTATTTGTATAATGACTGATCCAAATTGATCCCATTTCTGTGTTTTTTTACCTCGATATTTAATCATGTCATGTAAAAATCTGTTTGTATTCTCAAAACAGTGTCGGCCCATAAGTTTTCACATGCAATACAGCAATTAATACTCCCTTGTTGTAACCCGTGTTAGGTGGTATAAACCTACACATGTTATTTGTCATCATTCACTTGATGGTCAGTTAATGAATTTATAACAGGTATAATTAGTGGTAAGACACTTAGATTACCCGACAAAGGTTCCCATTTGGCCATTCTTGTGTCTGGAGTAAATATTCAACATTATAAACATCGATCAAAGAAATAACCGATAACACGCTGATTGATTAATTACTTTTATCTTACACAGCGGAATTGTCAAAAGGTAGTGTTTATGTATGTAGATTTACTAATTTATACTGAATACACTCTGCCGTGTCGGTGTCTGCGTAAAAACAACGTCCTTCTTTCAAAGGATTAACCGGCAATACATTGATTGATTGCCCATTATTGGCTAACTAAATTACTGTTTTTAATGAAAGGCGGACATTATGCAATTAGTTGCCAGGTGTGCTATCTTGGGTGACCAATGAGACTATACACCAATACCTGAAAAGTTTTATCACTTTTTCGTATATTAAACTGTTAAAAGACACATCATTTGGAACAGTTTTGTGGATATTGATGGATACATTCCTCAAACAAGGTAATGGCCTGATATTGTTCCTATAACTTTAATCTGTTTTAATTTTAATATTTGCATTTTGTTTTTTATTCATTTGTCGTAGTATTCAACAGAATCATTGTTTTCACCGTGAAGTGTAATGAGACAGACAACATACACTAGGGTGTGTGTGCGAATTATGATTCACATTGGCAAACTATAAAATGTCTAGATATTACAGTTCTGTTATAAATTCACTATAAGTATCAGCAGATCGTCAGCTTTTTATTTAGTTTCAAAATGCATAAAAGTATGATAATAAACTAATTAGGATTATAAGACCAAATATAAAGACGCACATTGACTAGTATCTACATACTGGTGAGTGGACATTAACCATGTGAATGTAGCAAGAAATTTATCGCGCAGTATTGTGACTTCGACCCCCACCTCGCTTCCGTGGAAGAAATCGTTATGTTATAAGTTGTGTCATGCAAAATCCTTTTGGTTATGATTCCAATACATATTTAACTACGAGTAGAAAGTAGTTTTGATTTTCTAACTTGATGAAAACAAACTATAATCTCGTTAATTCTAACAGACTTTACGATTTTCAAAAATGGCGGGGCCCTGTCGGGAACATCCGCCAGTCTGTGGATAAATGGTATTTAGGTTTGTTTTCACCGAGTTACAAAATCAAAACTACTTTCTACTGGTAGTAAAATATGTATTTTATTGATGGCCAATAGGATTTTGCATGACATAGCGTATAACATAACAATTTCTCTCCTGGCAGCGAGGTGGGTGTCAATATAATACTACTTACAATATTATTGTTACTTCGACCACAACCTCACTTCCGAGGAAGAAATCGTTATGTTACAAGTTGTGTTATGGAAAATCTATATGGTCATCAATCATATACATATTTTACTATAACTAGTAAGTAGTTTTGATTCTTTAACTTCCGTGAAGCGATCTGAACACAAGTAAGATATCGTTTCAGGCTTCCACAACGCTCGCTTCGCACTCACAAACATAACCCATTTAGCACGAACTGCGGGGTCCTGTGGAAATCTGTGCATGGTGACACCATCGCCCGACCCCTAGGAGCAATTGACGACAAAGCAACGATTCGGCATGTCGTCGTTGATGTTGAGAAATCATCAAAATGATGAGCGTGCTACACACTTTCTATACAACTAACTGAAAATCGTTCCTCATATGACGTCACTGCAGTGCTCTGGCGACAGAGTTACGTAACCTGTCTGTGGTTTCGTTGGCGGGCGAGAGGGAAGCAGGCGACTTTTTGCGCACTTTTAATCGCTCGGTATTAATTAACCACAAGTTTTTAAAGAATAAATTTGGTGTTCCGCATAAGACTAACCACAAATCTTTCATATGTAATGGTTAAAAGAGTAACAAAAAAACAAAGTTTAGTGGTTCTTTAATCTTATCATCTGAGGAACCTGGCACTGAAAACAGCAGTGTGCAAGCTAACACGTCTTAAGTTTCGTTCGCTCTTGCTACCAGTATCAGTTACGCCTTGTGTGTACTTTTGGCAAATATTGTGAGGTGCTGTTTCGAGAGATTAAAAGGTTCTGTGGTGGCCAAAGGGCGACGCGCTGCCCCTAGGCCTGTCCACAATTCTCATGCCAAGCTTTACAAATCTTGAATGTGACCGTGCAATTGGCATGCTCCAGGCTTGGCAGTCTACTGTGGTTGTTGCACGTACCATGAGAGGCATTAGACGGACAATTCATAACCGTGGACATCAGACGGGTACGATAACTGATCGCCCCAGGCCACATGTGACGTCACACGCCGATAACAATCAAACCCTAGGTCTAGGTCTAGGATCGCAGTGTTAAACAGTCACGCACTGCTTTGGGTCGCGTAACTGCCCAGACCGCACGAAACCGCTGCTGCCCATCTTCGTGCCCTACTTCCTTATGTTGGGCCGATGCTGACGCAGGTACACGGTAATGAA